CCTGGGGCTCCAGATAACCTTGGGACATCAGCCCAAGGCAAAACTCTTTCAGGATGTCTAGAATTAGAGACCATCATGAAAAGTTCAGGACTTGAAAAATCTGCGGGGCATTTCAATATGAAGACCCCAAACTGCCTTTTACAGCTTGTATCTAGATGTTCCCCTAAAACCTCAGGTGTTCACAGGTAGAGTTTTGAGGTGGCTGGCTTAGGGTGTGTGAATGTGGATTGAGGGTGTGATGCTGGGATTAAGGGTATGAATAATGGAAGCCCCACCCTGGATGTGGATGGCAGCGATCAAGGCTTGTAACCCAGATGGAATATAAGGGGACAAAAAGAAGGCAGGCCTGCTGCTTGCTGCTTGCTGCCTTCTGCCTGCCTTTCCTGGACTGTATCTCCTCTGAAACACTGCCCTGCCTTGGAGCCAGCTGACTATTGCTAAAACCTCTACAGAATATGAGCTGAAATAAACCTTTCCTCCTTTAACTCTGGGTGTTGGGTATTTTGTCTCAGCAATGAGAAAAGTAACTAAGACTCTGCCCATGTCTACATGGGATCCCACAACAGGCACTGATGCTGTTTCCATAGCAGAGGGGGGTTTGCAGGGTACAGGTCCCATAGGTCCCACAGGTGCCCTGCCCTGGCCTCCTCCTGACCAGGGTTTAGGCATCTGTAGGGCAGTGAGGCAACAGTGCCAGGATCTCTATAGCAGGACTAGCTCATGCCACACAAGAGAACTAGCTGTTTTGGGGTCCCAAGCTCACAGATCAGAAGTGTCTTGAGCAGAGCTTCATGCCATGGCTTGAGTGAGAAATAGAAGGTCCTCTCCTGAAGGCCACCCAACAGGCACATGTTGAGTACCTGCTATATGCAGGCCAGCTACTCTGCACGGGAGACAGAGCACCTCACCCAGTTACACCCATCACGGGGAAGGCAATCTGTTTAGCTTTTAGCAAGAGTGAGATCAACTTTGGGTAACAAGACTCCATGGGGAGATGTGGCCAGAAAGAATCCCTTCCCTGAAGATCAGGAATGGTCAGGGGGAGCTAACCGTCCATACTTACGTTCAGTGGCAAATTCTTCAGAGAGGGCAAGACACCAAGAGCAATTAGATATGTACATTTTTCTGTTATTTAAACTGAAACTACTGATTGAATCCTTAATTAGTGGCTTTGAACTACCTTGGGATAGAAAGTGGCACAGTTATTCCAAGTGCTAAATAGGACAATGAAGTCCCAGAGAGCAGGCTGCTCCTGTGATGTTGACTCTGGAACAAGCTTGGGAACAAGTCCTGATGCTCACACTGAGTTAAATTTGTTTCCGAAGCAGCTGGCCAGATGCTTAGCGTGGCTTCCTCTCCTTGCTGCTCCCAGGGTTTTCCCTTTGGCCTCAGTTAAAGCAGTCGCCCTCAATTTACTGTGTCACCCCAGCCAGGCCTTCAGATGTTTGAGTTTTTTGGTGGAAAAAGCTCAATGGAAGAGAAGTTGCTCAGTTAGTTGTGGGCCCATCTGTGAAACATCTAGCTGATCAAGTGCAGGCTTTGAGCAATAATGAAACTTCCCTTCCTCTTCGAAGGCTTTGAAGTTCTAAAACAATGGATAAAATGACACTGGGAGGCAGCCAGGCTGAGTACGCTGTGGAAAACATCCACTTAGTGACCCTGGTCCATGTCTCCACACCCCTGGAGAAGGAACAAGAGGGAGCCTTGAGCAGGTGTTTTCCACTTCACCATCGTTTTCCTGCCCTACAAATCAGGAGGAAGCCGCACAGCAGAGCACATGTAGGTGATGGCCAAAGAATCGCATGAGCAGGGTGCAAAGACAGTTTAAGGCTTTCTCTTAAAGTCCTGCAAAGTCTTCAGAAGTTTACTTGGAAGGTCTTGGTATTTCAGAATTGTCAGGAGACTTTTATTAGATCATTATCTGGCTTGGTTATGTCTCTTATATTTAAGCAGAGAGTATTTCACTTCGGATAAATTTTTAAATGGCTTTTTAATGACACAGATGTTCACATCTGCAGACCCTTCCCTTATGTGGAATTGTCTTCCTTCTCCTGGATAAATGTCTTGGCTCACCCTGCAAATTAATCCACAACAGTCTAAGCCAATTTAGGACAGATGTAAACTCTCTAGAGACCACTACTTTTTTTTATTTTACCCACTTTATGTTCATGTTTGGAAACATTTACTGGTATTGTGTGGTCCAGTGAATTCAACAGAGAGAAGACCACATTGTGGAATCATTATGGAACTCCTAAATTTATAAAACAAAATAGATCAGAAAGGTAATGTACAAAGATACTCTTGCAGATTTCATCTAATAATGCATTTAGTTTTCTGATGCTCCAGATTGGAAAACATAATTACATTTAAATCTGCAATTTGAGAGCACCCAGCTTTCACAGTCCATGGAGAAATGTGTTCCAAGACCTCTGGAGTTGCCCAAGTACCAACATGATCAGGGCCCGTCCATCAATGACACATTACTTTACAGAACCTCTCATCTACCTTAAATCACCTCTAGATTACTTATAACACAGTGCATGTGCTATGTAATAGTCATTATTCTGTGTTGTTTAGGGAATAATGCAAGAAAAAACATCTGTACAGATTCAGTAGATTCTTTTTTTCAGATATTTCCCCTCTGTACTCAGAACCCTTGGAAATGAAGGGCCGACTGTAATCAGCCACATTTTAGAAAGAGAAGATGGTGTAGATTCCAGTCTGGAGATCCCAACCCTGGCTGCAAGTTGGCAGCCTGAAGAGGGTTGGAAAATGCTGTGCTTGGGTCTTGGCCCTGGGTTTCTGACTTGGCCAAGCTACATGGGCACAGGCAGCCAGAGCGGAGGTCCTGGGGGCCCTGGTAGAGTCAGGTTGGAGAATTCCATGCAGGTACAAAGTCAGCTTTTCTCATATTTTTCAAGGTTATTTTTCTCACCTACTAAGATCCACCTAAAGATAACAAGTTTTCTGACCCCACAGGAAATCAGTTCTCCATAGTCACTGTATCCCTGCTCCACTATTTCCTCTCTGAATGACCTTAGTTGCCAGACCCTCTCTGAGCCTTCATTTCTTCATATCTAACATGAGGGCCATCAAGCCTTCCTAGACTTGCGAGGAAAAAGAGGAAGTCATGTGGGAACAGATTTGGTCTCCTGTGTGATGTGTGGACACCAGGTACCCTTAGGTGTCAGCCAGGTTCCCATTACTATTAACAAAATACCTGTGGCAACTAACTTAAAAAGGTAAAAGGCTTATTTTGGCTCACAGTGGCTTCCATCCATGGCCCATCACCCTGGGTACTTTAAGGCCACACACAGTGGCAGAGAGTACACGGGAGAGCATAGTTGTTCCCTTCGTGTCTGGAGGTGAAAAAGAAAGCTGGGTAGACCAGAAGTGCAGCAAGGCATGGCCCCTGTGATTTTAAACCTCCCACCTGGTCCAACACTTGAAGCTTCCAACACCTCCATATAATGCCAAACTGGAAACTAAGCCTTCAGCACACAGGCCTTGAGGACGTTATTTATGTTGTTGTCTTGCTTTGTTTGTTTTTGAGACAGGGTCTCTGTAGTTTGGGCTGGCCATGAACTCACTATGTAGCCCAGGCTGGCCTTGAACTCACAGCAGTCCTCCTGCCTCAGCCTCCCAAGTGCTGGGATTACCGGCGTGCACCACCACACCCGGGGGGGACAGTTTATATCCAAGCTTTAGCACCCTGAATCCTGAGTCCCCCTTCTCAGCAGCCCAGCCCCTCGTCCACCTGGGATCTGGAGGCCAAGTTTCAGGTCAGAAGCATCGGAGCCCTGAGTGTGCCAAGCCAGGGCCAGGGGTCAGGGGGTCAAGGGCCAAGACTATGTCCCAGAACCCTCCACCTCCCAAACACCATCTGACTGTGGGGCTTAGCCTTAGAGCAGCAGCCCAGGCGAGTATTCAGGCCCTTCCTGCAGAACGGGGCTGTTCACCCATCCTACAGAATATTCCTCCCTGCTCGGGAAGTGAGGGCCTGAGGGCTGCTAGAGGGAGAGGTAGCGCAGGGCAGTAGTTTCCAGCATGGACTTGACTCCCTGCTCAGCCTCTTGCAAGCTACTGGGCCTTGTGCAAGTGATTTCGCTACTCTGTGCCTGTTTCTCCATCTGTGCAATGAGGATAACAGAAGTACCTATCTTGTCCGGTCCTTGTAAGAATAAGAGTTAATATACAAAATGGGATTTTTAAAAATACAATAAAGGCTACATTTAGATTTTTTTTTAGTTTACCATTAATCCTCCTCAAAATATTCTTCCTCACTTCAAACACTGATCTCATCATTCTTGCCGTTGTCTGAAGCAGTTCTGGAAGTCTTCTTCTTTCATGAGTGCCTTTAATCATGCTCTCATGGCTGCCTTGGTCCTCACTTCAAACACTGATCTCATCATTCTTGCCGTTGTCTGAAGCAGTTCTGGAAGTCTTCTTTCATGAGTGCCTTTAATCATGCTCTCATGGCTGCCTTGATGTCCTAAATGGGTTCAAAACACTTTCACTGTCATTTCGTCTTTGGGGAAGAGCCTGAAATCACCAGTGAATAAGGTGGGTGAGGACGCAGCATCATGTTTGTTTTGTTTTGTTTTCGGTACTGGGGATTGAGCTTGGGAACTTGCGGCAGGCGGTGGAACCACTGAGCTAAATCCCCAGCCCAGACAGCATCATGTTTTCACAAGCTGCCTTTCAGCTGCATTCACTGCATTTTTCATCACACCTTGCAAAGACACTCAGGGAACAGGACCTGCAGAACTGCTTCAAAAAATGGCAAGAACAATGGGGTGAATGTTTCAAAGCAAGGGGAGTGTTATGAGGGGATGCATGGCAATGTGCCTTTTACTATGACAGATATTTTTAAAAATCCAAACATGCACCATATGTTTTGGTCACACAGTGTACATAAGGCCTGGACACAGTGCCCGGCTTGCCACCGTAAGGCAGCTGCTATCACCAGCCAGGTCTAACCCATATGTCCTCTACCCCAGTGCCTAGCCCCTCCTGTAACAGCTTTGACAACGCCCTTTCGAGACCTTGCCGGGTGCCACTAGGAGAGGAGGTCTGCTTCATTGCCACCGTCCGGCTGGCGACACCGCAGTTCTTAAAGGTGAGTCCCCTGCAGAGGAGTGGTTGCCTCGTGTTATATTTGTTCTGTTTCATTCATGGGAAAATGGGAGAAAATTAAATTGCGGCTAAGTTGTCTATAAAATCTAAAATGTCGAGTTTCTGCACTGCCACCCCTGCTCTGTCCCATACCTGGGTTTCCTGTGAGTTATTTGTTTGAAGGCAGAGATCCCGGGGTACTGTACATCTCCCCACCTCTGGCACTGGCCCTGACACCACTCAGCCGGCGTGGGTGAGCACTGAATGCCAAGTTCTTCGACTTCCCTCATCTGCAATTGCTTTCATCTGTGGCATGAGCGTGGCTAGAGTTAAATGAGTGATCACATTCAGATGAAAAGGTCCTTCCTCTGTGTGCCACACTTCCAGAAAATGGGAAGGGAGTGGTGTGACATTCTGGCTCCTAGGTATCTTCCCCCAGCTTTGGAAATAAATTTAGTATCAGCTAATACCGAAATTAACTACAGATGATGAGTTTCAGTCCGACATGACTGGGAGACTGGCTGGAACGATTCCAGCTTCTGTTCCTCACCAAGCATTCCCTTCCTTTTGTACCATCCTGGGGTGAGCGTCTGGCATCCCAAGTAACATTATGTTTTCCCCGCTTCCAATACAGGAAATGTGCATCGTTGATGAACCTTTAGAAGAATTCACTTCAAGGCATAGCTTGGAATGGAAATTTTTATTTCTGGATCACAGGTTTGTGAAAAGAAAAACATTTGGGTTGGGTCCTTTTCAAGTGCTGTTTATGTGAGCCAGGCTGTCCCTGGGAGGAGAGTCCAGCCTGGGCCAGGGACAAAGAAGGGTTCTCTGGCCGTAGGAGCTGTTTACCCAGCCAAGGGAGACAGTTTCCCTTCTGTGTGTCTGCCTTATTCTATACAGGTTCTGTGTTCAGGTCAGGACCACAGCTTGAGGCATCTGTAGGGTAATCCTCCCTTGGGCCCCCTCAGATCCCCAGAAAGGCAAAAGCAGATGGGAAGGGAAATCTCTCCTCTGATTTCTTCCAGCACCCTTTGATCCTGTAGCCTCATCTTTTTCTTTCCTTTGTAACATTATTCACAGATTAAGAGCTGCAGATCTCCCCTCCTAACCCTTTAATTGTTCATTGCACTTGGCCAAGGGTTGGCCCAGTCGATTGCCGTTCTTAATTATTCAACAGAAATAAGTTTGCGTATTACTTAGGCCAAGCGAATGCAGTGCCTAAATGCCAAACGAAGTGGAGCCCTTGGAAAACATGGTCTCTTGGGGGCTGATCATTGAGACATATTTTCCTCCCCTGTTTCTTGGGAGATGAGGCCCTCTGTGGGTCACAAACTGTGCAACCATCCCCTGTGCACAAACATCTCAGCCAGTGTGGTGAGCCCTGCCAGGACTCCTCAGATGACCAACCCTTCTGTCCTCCTGCAGAGCCCCTCCAATCATAGGATACCTGCCCTTCGAAGTGCTGGGCACCTCGGGCTATGACTACTACCACATCGATGACCTGGAGCTCCTGGCCAGGTGCCACCAGCACTGTGAGTACTGCTCACCCAGCGCCAGCACCAGGGCCACCTACAGCTCCCCAGGGACTAGGCAGCAGGGCTCCGTGCCAGCTGAAGTCTGCTCTTTACCTGGATTCCTCATGGGCTGGGGAATTTAGCTTTCCATGCACGGCAGTGACCTGGGGACATGGCAGAGATTGTGCCTGCATTAATGTCCCGTTTTAACCTAGAATTGATTTTGCTTAGTACCCGGCCCCTTCTCAGTGTCATCCACATAGTCACTCCTTAATCCTAATGAGAAACTATGGTGACACCAGGAATAGTTTTAAAAGCCATATGAGACATTTTAAATGACAAAATGCTGAATTTGCATGCCTGCTCTCTAGCCAGCAGACAGGTAGGGGTCCCCAAGCACAGGCCAGACGCTAAGCTTCTTTGTCTTTGGATACCACACTTCCCACATGAGTGGCTTCAGCAACCTGAGTCTCCCAGCTAAGGGTTCTCCTTTGCATTAGGCAGTGCCGATAAAGATGGTTGGCATCTCACACTTTGCTGTAGCAGCTTCTGCTGGGAAATCCAGAAACACGTGGCTTTGTAAGTGCACAGGATGTTGGGGGCTCCAAGGAACAGCCAGCAGACAGCCTCTGTCACCAAAAACAGATCACAGTGGGAAACACATGCGCTTAGGGCTCACAATGTGGGGGAGCAAGAATGACACATTTCTCCAGCTCTTACTTGAAAGAGGAGTCAAGAATTAACCCCTCAAGGCTAGGCATGGTGGCACACACCCATAATCCCAGCGTTTGGGAGGCTGAGGTCGGAGGATTAGCTCAAATTCAGTCAGCCTGGGCTACATAGTGAGTTCAAGGCCAGCCTGAACTACATAGCCAGACCCTGTGTCAAATAAATAAATAAATAAGCAAACAAACAAAAAGCTGTATTTTCAGTGCCATCTCTTCGCTCTGAACAAGAACACGTATGGCAGCATTGGCCTCTGGATCCTGGCCCATGAATGAATGGACCTCAAACCCTAGATCCTGGTATATGCCTTGTTCCCAGGGCCCATTAGGACTTCCCAGTCTGCTGTCCTTGCTGATGGAAGAACAGGCTGGAGTTCAAGTTGGCTCAGCTGTCAAAATTTAAGGCTCGGTAGTGGTGCACACTAGTAATCCCGGCAGTCAAGCTGAGGTAGGGAAGATCACAAGTTCAAGACCAGCATGGGCTACATCATGAGTTCAAGATTAGCCTACATAGGACCAGGACTGCATAGTGAGACCCTTTCTTCAAAAAAAAATTGTTTAAGGCTTATCTTTGAAACCTCAATCCCTTGTTCCTCCAAAGTCTGGTATGGGGAACGGCTGCATGGACATTAAGGGCTCTGCTAGACTTGTAGCTCAGGCTCCTTCTACCAGGCCTAGAGTGAGAATTTTCACTTGCACAAGATACTAAGTGATTCATGTGCATTCATATTTGAAAAGTGTAACTGCTTTAAACCTGTGGTTGCTTCTGACTCTTTCAACAGAACAAAACCATTCAGTCCAAAGGATTGCTCTCAGGGTATAAAAATCAGAGAAGCCACCTGATCATACAACCCTGGGGCCTGCAGGCACCTAGGCAGCCACAGGAGAGACTGGGGGTGGAAGCCTCTGAACCAGACCCTCTTTATTCTACAGCTGTGTAGACTGAGGCAGACTGCTGACTGGCAGCCAACTCTGTCGAGCACTCTCTGGCTCTCAGGTCTTTTTCGAGTCCACTTCTCCCGGTTTCTGGATTCTTCCTCCTCTCTGAACTCCTGCAGCTCCAAGAACAGCTCCACCCACCTTCAGCAGGAGGAGGAGCCCTACGAAAACCAGGGCCTCTGTAATAAACCTCCAGCTTGAATATCTGCCCATATTTGTCCTTGTTTGAAGATCTCTGAGCTTCTAAGCATTTGAAAAAGAATATGGATTATACTTCTGTCTTTTAATTCATTAGTTTGGCTGGGGGTATGGCTTAGGGGGTAGTGTACTTGCCTGGCACACGCAAGACCCTGGGTTCAATCCCCGCTGCCACAAGAAAAGAAGCTCTAGTGTTCACCATTGCCCTACTAGTCACCGAACACAGCATGTAACCAGGGAGGTAGCAATGTTGGGTGTTGTCGCTTCTGACATGGATTTCAGCCATAACTGTTGGGGGAAAGATCAGTTTTGCATGAACATGCGTCACATGCAGAATCTATGTCCCGCCCACAGTGATGCAGTTTGGCAAAGGGAAGTCGTGTTGCTACCGGTTTCTAACCAAAGGGCAGCAGTGGATCTGGCTGCAGACTCACTACTACATCACCTACCATCAGTGGAACTCCAAGCCCGAGTTCATTGTCTGCACACACTCGGTCGTCAGGTACTGCTTGGGGCAGGTTCTGGGAGGGCTGTGGAGGCCCTGATGGTGTAGAGTCATCAGCCACCTCAGAAGGCCTTGTGTCTAGTGACCAAGCCCCGGCCGAGCCCCGGAGCCCAGCTACATGCACAGCCCTATTCGAACAGGGTGAAGGTTTCTTTTGAGTTTTCAATCAGGCCCCTTTGAAGGCCTCATGAACTCTTTTAAGCTGCCAGGATATTACTTAGTAAGTTCCTGCTTCCCTGACCTACTTACATATTTTTCCCTTGTCTCTCTCCCTCCCCCAGCCTTCCCTGTCACTGTTTTGAGAAGAAAATTAAAACACTGCCTCTAAATAACTCAAACACATACTCCCTTTATTTCTCATGCTTTTAAAACCCCTGCTGACCACTGAGGAGGCAGTGTTGAGAGGACAGCCAGGCTGCCAGTGGGACAGGGTCCCTGTGGTTCCTAGTGGCAGAGTAGGGCTAGGAAGAGAGGCCACACGCCCAGCATGTCCTCATCCCATCTTGTGTGGGACCCAACACAAAGGTGAAGGAAGAAGTCATTCTCCCCTCCACCCCATGACAGAGATGTTACCATCATAAAGCAGCTTGAAGCTGGTTTCCAAAAGAACCTTTGAGGAAAACAAAGAAAGAAAGGCTAGAAGGACACAGGTCATATAGGCAGCCAGCCCTCTGTGTTTTCATATCCATGGATTCAACCAGCTATGGATTGGAAATATTTTTATAAGCTGCGTTTGTATTGAACATGTAGGACTTTTTTTTTCCTAATCACTGCTCCCTGAACAATACAGAATACCAACTGTGTACATAGCATCTGCATTCTATTAGGGATCACAAATCACTCAGAAATGATTTCCAGTGTGCAGGAGAACATGCGTTGATTACAGACAGACACTATGCCGTTCTAAGAAGGGACTTGAACACTGGTGCCTCTCAGTACCTGAGTTTTGTGCTCAGGCCCTGAGACCACTCCAGTCCCCAGCAAGTCCTGGGGACCTCAGCACCCAGTGGCTTGTGACTTATAGCCAGCAGCGTGCAGCACTCAGCCTGGGTATTTGCCAGAGGCCCTGCACCCCAGGAAAGGCTGGGCTCCTCGGGGCTCTCTCCCCTCTGGCCTCCAGGTCTCAGACAGCAGCTCTAGAGATGTGGGAAGAGCCGAGTGAGCGGATGCGGTGACGTGTCCTGGTGGCCCTGACCCTGTGTCACTGTCCAGCCCCACCTCACTGCTCAGCTTGGACACAAACCAAGGCCCCACTCACAGTGCTTCGTCAGGTCCCTCGGGGTATCACAGAGTAGTTCCCCGGGTCTGGCAAGTTCTAAGTTTGTTTGAGAGAAACTTTTGGAGAAATGTGAGGTGTAATTATTGGCGGAGTTTTGTGTCTGGACCAAACAGGTGTCAGGAACAGCTTTGCTTACGTAAAGGCCAAAGCTTGTGCCTTGGAGGATAATGCCTTTCTAAAGACAATTATACTGATTTCAGGGGGAGCAGGGCTAGAACAGTAAAGGAGAGGGGAATGAAAACATCCTGGAAACCAGGCTATTCGGATGTCACATGAGAATCCACGGTGGAAAACAAGCCAGAAGGAAGGCCCCCTTTAGACAGGGCAGCGGCTGAGCTCCTCTGTCCTGGGAGAGGGTGGCGCAGGGAGGGTCCCACTGTGTCACCCTGCAGTATGCTCTCTGCTGTCCTGAGCAGTTACGCCGATGTCCGCGTGGAAAGGAGACAGGAGCTGGCTTTGGAAGACCCGCCGCCTGAGGTCTTGCACCCCTCAGCGCTGAAGGTAAACATACCCCTGCTCAGTGGGGACAGGCAAAGATCAGCTAGGCAGAACCTGGTGTAGTTTTTCTCATAAAAAGCACATACCTGTATTCCCAGCACTCTGGGAGGCTGAGGAAGGAGGACTGGGAATTGGAACCCAGCCTAGGGTAGCTTAGTATGACCTTGTCTCAAACTAAAAAAATAAAATAAAAAATAAAAAGGACTGGGGATGGGGCTGGAAATGTACCACAGTGGTAAAATGCTTGCTTAATATTAGCAAGGCCCTGGGTGCAATCCCCAGTACCACCAAAAAAAAAAAAAAAAGAAAGGACTAGGGGTATCAATCAGGGGGAAGGCCCTGAGACCCCTTCATATTCTGTGTTCTACCTAAATAGAAAATGATTTCTGTAAGTCAGGCATGGTGGTGCAAAACCATTGTTCAGCCTTCTAGGAGGCTGAGGCAGGAAGATCATAAGTTCCAGCCCAGCCTGAGCAACTTAGTGACTTTGCAAGATGTCATCTTAAAAAAAAAAAAAAAAAAAGAAAGGACTAGGGGTATCAATCAGGGGGAAGGCCCTGAGACCCCTTCATATTCTGTGTTCTACCTAAATAGAAAATGATTTCTGTAAGTCAGGCATGGTGGTGCAAACCCATTGTTCAGCCTTCTAGGAGGCTGAGGCAGGAAGATCATAAGTTCCAGCCCAGCCTGAGCAACTTAGTGACTTTGCAAGATGTCATCTTAAAAAAAAAAAAAAAAAACTAAACTAAACTAAAACTAAACTAAAAGGACTGGAGATGTAGATCAGTGTGAAGACCCTGGGTTCAATTCCAGTACCTCAAAAAAGAAAAATAAAGAGGGCCGGGGATTTAGCTCAGTGGTGCCACCACCTGCCTCATAAATGCAAGGTCCCAAGTTCGATCCCCAGTACAAAAAAAAAAAAATGGAAAAGAAAGAAAGAAAAAAATACAGACCAATATGAGAGGGTATCATTGAGTGCAGAGCCCAGCGGCTTCCGGCAGCTTGATGGTTCATCATGTGTGACTGTCACCTGCACCTGGATGTGGCTTGCCTGCTTCTGCTGCTGGACAGGATTATTAGTGGGCTCTGGCTGGAATCCACCCTGTGTAGGACCAGGGAATGGAACCGAGCCATTAATAATAGGTGTCAGACCCACTGTGCATCCGGCCAGGGCATGGCCTGACAGGTGCATTGTCCAGCCCATAATTCATCACTCCATCCTCTGAGACTCTCAGCCTCACAGGTCGTCATCTCAAGATCACGCTGTGTGGACCAACACACACATGCAATCCTGCAGCCAAGGCTGAAATCCCTTTGAAAGTAAAGCACTGGGATGGTGTTTCTCACACTACCTGTGGGGATGGACCAGTTCATTTTCTTTTACCTTCCAATCTCTCACTGACATGTTTGTAAAATGCAATTCCAACACTTGGATGTGATATGCGGTGACATCGAAGGCTGTGAGAGTTTCTCCGTGCTCACTGTCACATCCTGGGCACGGGGGACACACAGCTCACACACAGTCATGGGCCAGGGACCCTCAGAGCAACACCATCTAAGGAGAACCTGTCCCTGAGCAGCCCACTTCTGGCAGCACATCCAGGCTCTTCCTGCCACTCTAATTTTTGCACAGAGGCCGATGTCAGTTACTCCAGCCCTCCTTGCACGTATGCATTCACATACATACATGTGTGTACGCACACACTTGGCATCCACCCCCTCTGGAGCCCCATCTGCCATGTGAACTCACACACGAGGTCCATCCCTGAGACCAACGGCAGAGACCAGCCAGGTGACATAGCCCAGTGGTGCTGGCATCTCCACCCTCCTAGCCTAGGTAGGAACAGGGCTCAGGAAAGTCATCATTGAGAGTGATCACAGCGCTGTGTTCACACCTCTGACCCCACATCACAGAGGATAGGAATGTCATCCCTCGGGGTTGGACACCACAGTTGCATTCTCACCAAAGGTGTTCGAGACTGAGACAGCCTGGGAGCTGGGACCCATAAAGACCCAGAGGTCAAAAGATCGGAGACCCCACTTTCCACTCGGGGGTCACTCAAGCTGAGAAGCCACTGATGTCATCGGAAGTGATGTAGGAAGTGCCCTGGAAAGGACCCCAAGGCCTTTGTGTTGTTGGACATGTCGGCAGTCCAGTACAGGCAACAACCACATTTCTAGAACCTGATTCTTCTCAAAAGCCAAAATTATGGGGTGATGATTATAAGGAAAAACTAAAATGTAAAGTCAGTTGGGAAAATCTGAAAGATCAAAATCAAAGGCAAGAAAGTATAACAAATGGTGCCCAAGGGCTAGAAGCCACCCGGTGCCCGTCAGGTTATAGGATGGATCTGCTCCTCCTTTGGTGTCTAGAATTATCCCAAAGAGTCACCGTCTTGTCTCAACAACTTCTACATTGCTCCAGGTGTTTAGAAGGAAAGCTACATCACTCATCCTGACCTGGAGAGTGGACATGGGCTTTCTTGCATGTGTTTCAGGACAAGGACTCCAGCCTGGACCCCCAGCAGCACTTTACCACACTGGATGCTGGTGCCCCAGGCCTGAATGCCAGTCCTTCACCATCTGTGTCCTCGAGGAGTTCCCACAAGTCCACACACACGGCTGTGTCAGAGCCTGCTTGTGAGTGTGGTCCTGGGGAGGCCCAGGGATGAGATGGCTGCTCTCCTTGTTTCTCTCCGCTCACCTCTTGCCCAGGATCCCTCCACCCCTCGGCATGTCCACTCGTACAAAGCACATCAGATAACAGGGCCACTTTCAGGGTCCCTGGGGCGGTGTTTGACCGGGAGGTGGTTGGACCCAGTGGCAGAAGTGAAGTCTGGGGCCCACCTACGGTAGCTTCTGCCTGCTTCCGTGCATGGTGACTTCTATCCTGGGAGGTCCACCCAAGCTCTGGTGTCCCCTCCCACTGAGACAGCCCAGAAGGATGCACATGCCAGGAGTGTCATTCCCTGCTTTCTTACAGCCACTCCGACCAAGCTGATGGCTGAGGCCAGTACCACAGCTTTGCCAAGATCAGCCACCCTGCCCCAAGAGTTACCAGTGCCCGGGCTCGGCCAGGCAGCCATGATGCCAGTACGTGCGTGACCCAAACTTCTCAGCAGGGGTGTGTGACCGCGTGGTGTGGGCTCAGCGTGTGCTCGTCCTTCTCAGGGACTCCACTGCCCTTAGAGGTAGAAGCCCTGGGGTTGGACGGCATGTGAAGTTATGTCATTTATTTGGCAACTAGTTTTAAACATGTTTGTAACAAAATTGATGTGAGTTAATATAGAATACAAAACCCAAATAGGTTTCAAAGATAAAGCTCAGAATTTCAAAGCTGAGCCCATAGCCGCAGAGCCCCTGTGGGTTTTGGATTCCAGTGCCGATTAACTCAGCCCCAGCTCTCTCCCAGGCGCCTCTGCCTTCCCCGGTGTCCTGTGACCTCACGCAGCAGCTCCTGCCTCAGACCGTTTTGCAGAGTCCGCCTGCACCCATGGCACAGGTGGGTCTGGGACTTGGGATGGGCAGCACTGCCTCCAGACAGGGTGTGACAATGTCCTCTGGAGGGTGCGGGCTGTTGGCGCTGATGTGGTCACACATGTGGCCCGACCAGGACCCTGTCACAGGGAAACCCCTCCCAAGGTGCAGGTGGGGCAGTCGGAGGGAAGACCCTCCCTCATCTTTACTCCTGTGCTTGTCTGCCCTTCTGGGCCTGCCACCTACAAGGGGTGATCCCAAAATACAGGAAATGTGTAGATCTTAAAAATTTATTACAGCAAAAGACGCATTGCCATTAATCTGCCCCTCAAAATCCTCCCTTCACTTCACACATGCTTACTCCATGGTTCTTGCTGCTCTCTGAAACAGTTCTCTTTTTTTTCAGTCCCGGGGATCAAACTTGGGACCTTGTGCTTGTGAGGCAGGCAGTGGCACCACTGAGCTAAACCCCCGGCCCCCCAAAGCAGTTCTGGAAGTCCTCTTCCATGAGTGTCTCTGTGAGGTGAGATAAAACGTACGGTGAATCCCGCTGCCAAATGCCGTCCAACAGAAAGGCAACCCACAAAATATGACGCTGTGTCTTCGTCCACCTTCTTCACCGGAGATGGCACCGTGTGACTTCCAGGTCTTCCACAGAGTCAAAATGGCCATGAAAGGGAAACATTTTGAATGGGTTGAGACTATCAAAGGAACTGCAACAATGCAGCTAAAGCCACTCCCAAAGAGGACTCCAGAACTGCTTCAGAAAGGGGCAAGAACCATGGGATAAGTGTGTTCACCGCGAGGGGGGATTGTGAGGGGATTCGTGCTGGTGTGTCCTTCACTGTAAGTTTTTGTTGTTGTTTTGTTTTGTTTTGTTTTGCGGCTCTTTTTTTTTAAGCAAAATATTTATTGGTCCATTTTAATATACATAATGATAACATTTATAGTAGGGAGTGTAAGTTTTTTTTTAAACCTTCACCCTATTTTCCAGTCACACCTCACGCATCCTAAGAGCTCTCTCCCTGTGTCTGTTTCCCACTCTCACACCCATCTTTGGTCATCTTTCTGCCACTCTTCACATTGCCTTCATAGCTGATGATGCCAAAGTAGCCATGGTATTTTAGAAAAATCTGAATTAAGCCAAATGTCATAGGACACCCCGGAAAGGGTCTAAAAGCTGTGGGTCTGGAGCTATAAATACCATATTTTTTTCAAATAGTACAGCTTAGCCGAGTGACTGCTTCCTCTCTTCCACAACATTCAGGGAGCTGTCACGGGGGCCAGGCTGAGGGTGAGGGGCTGGGGTGCAAAACAAAGTGTTTTGCTCTTAGTTCTCAGAGGTAAAGGGAAAGGCGGGCAGATAAACAGAGAAATCACCACGGCAAGGCACGTGTTTCTCTAGGATTGATGGCAAAATAGTCCTTGTGGCCTCCTGGAGGAGGTGGCTCTTGGGTTGGCCTCAGAAGGATGGCTAGGAAGTTGCCAGTGGAGAATTAGGAACGGGGAGAGCGGGACCGAGCGTTCCTTCTGTGTTCTCAGCTCTAGAGATGGAGGGAATGATGGGAAGTGTAAAGAGGAAGGGAGGAAGGACAGAAGGAAGGGAAGAAAATGGAACAGCAGGGAGAAGGAGAACAAGGAAAAGACTAGCGAAAAGACAAATCACAGTCCAGAGCACCCGGACTTTGCTGGGGGCCGCAGGGAGTGCTCCCCGCTCCTATTTGATGTGTCCTACAGGAAAGCACGTGTGAAGGCGGACAGTTGCCACCGGCAAATGCTCCTAAAGCCAGCCCTGTCCCCAGAAGTGACCAAGGGCCCAAGAGCAGGGAGACTGCACTGAGCAAAGCAGACCTGGGGGCCTCTGCAGGTTCCCACCTTGTCACCCCAGGGAGTGTCAGTACCTGTCTCCTCTGCGTGTGTGTGTGTGTGTGTGTGTGTGTGTGTGTGTGTGCGTGCACATGTGCGCGCAAAGCAGCAAGTGGGCCAGGGACAGAAGTGGGGGAGGAGGCCTCCGTGGCCTCAGGCCTGCTTGGAGAGAGCCAGAATCAGACTCAAAATGTCACTTACAGTCTGCCACACCCCAAGAGGAGAAGGGGCTCTCAGATGCCCTGTGTGTGACCTTCATTATGAAGTCTTTTGTGTACCTGATTCAATCAGGAACATCTGTCTGTGAGCACGGCTCACCAGGTCCTGTTCTCATCTGTGGGCCTCCCAGCCATCAGGCGATAAATGTGACCTGAGGTTATTCTGGCCTGAGGACAGCTGGCTGGGTACCCCATGACCCCTGTGGTGTAGGGATGCCAGGAAGGATGGCCAGGGGACCGGAAGGGCTGATGGGACCAGTGGCGGAGAGACCCACCTGCCAAATTGAATTAGCTCTCTGATCCGTTGTGTCTTCCCTCTGCCGGGAAGTTCTCCGCACAGCTCAGCATGTTCCAGACCATTAAGGACCAGCTGGAACAGCGGACGCGGGTGCTGCAGGCCAACATCCGGTGGCAGCAGGAAGAGCTCCACAAGATCCAGGAGCAGCTGTGCCTGGTGCAGGACTCCAGCGTGCAGGTGACACCCTGTCCTGGGATGGCCCTTAGTCTGGCTTCCTAATGGGATGACTCCCCGAGCCCCTCCACGGGCAAAGCATGGAGTATAGAACCACCCCCTGCCCCAGCTCTAGGCCACCCAAGAGACCCCTATGGTGCCCTCATCCCTCACTCTCACGCTGGGGGGCACACTCTCTTCGCTGCCCCAGCTTAATGGTCATTCAGTCAGCTGGCACATGATCACCCTGCTGGATGCCAGGCTCAATCCTTGGACACAAGACAGCTTCATTCTCACCCTCAGTTCTTGTGTGATCAGCTTACTCCAAGGTAGGAAGGGCGCTGTGGAAGGGTCTGGCAGAGGAGAGTTGCTCACCTCATGGCAGACAGGAAACAGAAAGTCAAGGGAGGAGCTGCAGAGGGAGATGAACCCTTCCGGCTCATGCCCCCTTCCAGGTCATGCCCCCAGTGACCACCTCTTCCAACCAGGCCCTGCCTCCTAACAGGAAGTCAGAATCCAACCACCTTCCAAAAGACCTACCTAGGTAGGTCTGAGGCTCCTAGGGGATATCTAGAAGGAAACCATAACATGTGACCCCCCCAGTGTCAGTTCTTGGAATCCTTTTGAAACAGTTTCTTGGGGGCAAGGGAAAACTGTATGGATTGCATCTCTTTCAAGGACAGATTCTTTTTGTTAACTTTACTTACTTCAGCCCAGGACAGTTATGTTCACAAGTGTACCATGGGACCCAGCCCTTCAGTGTAAACATCCTCCTCACCAACCTTGGTGTCTACCCTGAGAACAGCAAGCATCCTAAATGTCTCCTAAAGACATGAAACAGAAGGGACAGAGTACTGTGCCTGTGGCTGTCCTGTCCCTGCCACAGAGACCCCACCTCACCTGGCCACCACATTCTCGAAACTTAGGCTCTGTAGTCTTGTTGGTGGTGGCTGGAGAGGCCTCTTTTCAGCCATCTGTTTCCCAGGGTCTCCTGTGGCTCTGCTTGGAGGCAAGGGGCCCCAGGAAGGACACTGGCTACTCCCTCCCACCCTGTGTCCACAGCCCAAGGCTTCTACCCCTGCCCGGGCCACTGGAGTCCTGCCACTCCCTCCCCACCTCAGTGACACCCCATCTGATGAGGCCACACAAAGGGAAACAGGGTGATCAAGCTGTCACATTAGTATAAAGCTCCTTCTTGCTTATCCTGTCCCCAGTGTAATATTTTCCTCACTGTATCCAAGGTGAGGTTGGCAGCCCAGAACTTCCCAGACTCAATTACTGTAATGGGATTTTTATACTATCAGGAAGAGGAAAATGAGCAGGAAAATGCTGAAAGCCAGGTGGGCCTGGGAATATCCTCCTGGGTGCCTCTGCCTCTGGCTTTTCCACCTTGCAGTGAGATTTTAAAATAACAGGCAACAAAGTGGCTGCTCTGACTCCCAGTTGTAAAGAATGATCGCGATTTCCCTTTGTTAATACGCAACGCACTTGCTTTTAAGAGCACGTGAGCTCTGTAAGGAGGTGACAGGGACATCAGGCCCTCTGGTTCATTCTGCTCTGGCTTCTTTCCTCCCCTGTGTTCATTCCCTTGACCTTATCCTCGTGGTGGAATTTTCCAAAGAACCATGAAATCCACAGAAGGTCACCCAGACCATAGAATACTTCCTCCACAGTCTGCCTTCTTAAGGAAATCACTCTGCAACACCTAAGCAAAATGTGGCATCTGTTTTAAAAATCAAACAAACAAAAACTATGTGCTTTCAGTGCAAAAAAATAAGCAAGTAAAACTTCTCCTGGCTTCCACCCCCGGAATGGGGAAAGATGCAATAAATGTTGAGACCTGATGAAGCCTAAGGGTGACACATGAGCACGTGAGGTTTCATCGTGCCATTTCCCCACCTGTGTGCCTTGGATTCATGAAAGTGAGCAGATAAGGAAATGAAAAATCACGGGTGAATTCTTGTATTAGGGATTATTTTTCCTCTGATAACTTTCCTCCTTGAATTAGGGAGCTATATTTTGTTTTGTTTTGTTTTTACATATTTTCTATAAAACTGACCCCAAAGCCCTTTTAGGAAGTCATCTTCTTAAGCCATAAAATTCCATTTTTTTGGCCAGGTGTGACAGCACATGCCTATAATCCCAGTACTTGGGAGGCTAAAGCAGAAGGATCACTGAGTTCAAGGGCCGTCAGGGGTAGGTAAGGTAGTGAGACCGGTCTGAACCCCATAGTGAGACCATGTCTCCAAAGAAACCAAAAACAACAACCAATACCCACTTCTGCTTTATTGCCGAGGCAGCAGAAGCATGAATGTGTGTGGCAGCAGGCCGGGATTCCCCTCCCAGGGTCTTCTAACCCAGCTTGGTGGACTTTCCCTGTTTCACTTCACACTTCAGAACTGCCGGTGAGACCTTGCATTTCCAGTGTTTGTTAAGTTTGAACTTTTAATTGGATTATGAGGGGAGATCCTCTAAAGCTGTTGGTATTTGCATCTTGCTAGGGTCCTGAGGGGCCCCAAGTAGGCCACAGCTCTCTGGGGAAAGGCCCAGTGGCCTGCAGTGAGGGCAAGGCCACCTCTTGCTCTTTTTGAAATCATGTGCACCCCCTGCTGGCTACTCAGATGAATACCTACAAGGACATCTAGCAACGCAGATGACACATTTGTCCCTTGGTTGGTACTTTCAGCCACCCATCAACCTGCCCTTTCCCTCAGGCAGCCCATCCTTCCTTCTTTCCATCCATCTTTCCTTCCATCCACCCATCCAACCATCCTTCCTTTCTTCCATCCGTCCATCTGGCAGGCACTCATAATGTGCCAAGCACCTAGCTGAGCAGTGCAAGGACATAACAAGAACAGGAACAGTGTTTCTGGTGTCCAAGAATGTACTCGTACTTCAACAGGACCAAGAAGCAGAAACGGTCCACTATGTAATGGTAGTAGAAATGGTTTGAGCAAAATGTTTCACTCATTCATGTATTTTCCATTCATTCATTCATTCCTCAGATAATTCTAATATGCTGCAAGAGTCAAAGGAGCAAAAGTATTCTTTCTTTCATATTATTATTATCTAACATTTATACACCATTTCCTGAGTCTCAGGTACTTTATATGCATTGACTTCATGTAATCCTTTGTGGGGTATCTACTGTTAATGTCACTGTTCTGTGAATGAGGAAACTAAAGCTCTGAAGATGATGAAACTGCCCAAGGTTCTCCTGCTAATAGATGGTGGGGTGGCGGCTAGAACTCAAGTACAAGTATGTGTCTTTTCGGCTAGATAATAATGAATGCCTGTCATAAATAAAGCACACATTTATTTGAATTCTAATCAATGTAAATTGTATCCTACCAAAAACTATATGGTAATTGGATTTGAATATTAGGTTGTATTGAATTGGTGAGGCATAGGTTACCCACAAGGGTCCCAAGTCTGAGATAATGGATACCAGAAAAGTACTTCCTAGCCTCTAAGCTGACAGTGTCCTGTTTAGAAACTGTGGGCTTCTGGGTTGGAGCTGAGGCGTGAGAGGAGATGGGAGATAAAAAGAGAACAGGACAACTGGGTCGCAGGGCTGCACCTGTCTACCATGGGTAGCTGCCTGGAGACTCAAGTCACCATGAGTGAGCCCCTGCGCTGGCCCAGCACTTGGTCTGCTCCCAGTACCTGTGTTCCAGCTCAAACCTGCCAGGCCTCACCTGCCGCCTTATGCAGCTTGTGTCTGCCGGTCACTGTGTCCTGGGTTGAATGTGTAGGTGCTGGAGGAGGAGGCACCTCCTGACAGAAATAGAATTAGTGAGTGTTTTTAATGCCCAAGAGAGGATTTTGCTAAAAGAGGTATTGATAGGACCTTGGTTAGATTATTATGAAAACTCATTTAAAGCTGGTTTTCTGTAATATCCAGAGCCAACTTTCTTACAAATTTACTAATTTGGTCTTACAAGAAAAATCCTTCCACTTATTTTTGTTTATCTTCAATTAGTTTGTAAGTTTGGCAAATTATGAATAATCAGCATTATCAAACCTATTCACTGACAAATCTGTCAAGCATCTCATGTACTTATCAAAGAAAACATATAAACCTGACAAGTTAAAATCTTCCTAAGCGCTTAACTGTTTTAAGTCAAATATAGTCAGCCTTAAGGATTCATGAGGGTTTGGTCCCAGCATTCCCTGTGGTAACCCCAACCCACAAATGTCACATATAGAAAACAGCATGGTGTTTGCATGGAACCTACCCACACCCCCTGTATGCTTTAAATCACCCTTAGGTTATCATATTCCACATACCTAACCCAGTGTATGTGCTGTGTAAATAGCTGTTGACCTGTATGGTTTAGGACATAATGGTAAAGAAAATAATCTGTACGTGTTTGGTACAGATGGAATTTTCTCCCAAGTATTTCCAATCTAAGACTGGTTGAATCTGCAGGTACAAAATCTAGAAATATAAGGCCCCCTAAATACATCTTCCTTCTGCTAGAAACCAATGAGCCAACTTCAGCTATCAACAAGTGCACGTGTCAAATTATTCCTAAAGCATCTGGGTCCCACCTTCTTTCGCACCATCAGAAAGCAGCATCTCGACGACGGCCTTCATGAGGGCAGAGGTGGTGCCTCCCCAACCTGATCACTCAGTCCAATCCCTGGCTGGCCACTGGGCACCCTGGGTGCTTGCTGGCTACAGCTGAGTCAATGAGCCTTTTCCAGGCCAGTCAGGGGCTCCACAGATCCACCCTCTCTCTTCCTGTGACAGGGGACACGCAGCAGATGCCCACCTGAGAGGCACACCTGCCCTCCTTACAGCTGTTTCTCTCTGCCCCCAGATGTTCCTGCAACAGCCAGCCATCTCCCTGAGCTTTGGCAGTGCCCAACGGCCCGAGGCACAGCAGCAGCTGCCACAAAGGGTGGCTGCCGCAGCTCAGCCCCAGCTGGTGACGAGCCCCCAGCTTCCGGGGCAGATGGCCTCAGCCCAGGTCACAAGCCAGCACCTGCTCAGAGAATCCAGTGTGATTGCGAGCCAGGTAAGCGTGCCCTGGTCCAGTGTGGTACTTGCCCGGAGCAGGCGCACCCTTGCAGGCCAGGATGTGCTTGATCCCTGAAGCTAATAAGACAGTCCTCGCTGGACTGGGGTGGCACATGGGGATGTATTTTTCTCTACTTTTCTCTTTTAAAGTCACTTGGAAGGTTCAAGCTGTGTTGGCTTCCTTTTGCACTTTTGCCCCTGAAGACACTGGGCAGCTGCAAATTTCCATTTTGATACTGCACTAGAGTGGGAGGCAGTGGACACCCCAGACCCTCAGACACACCCATCTCCCATCCCTTCTGCTCCCGGTGCCTGCCGTTTCCCACCAGAGCAGCCTCGTCTTCATTGTCCCTTGGCACAGGACAGCTTTGCTCCTCTGGGCCACCCAGAATCCCCACCGGGCCCTTCCTTTGCAACCTGAGCCACTCAGTACAAGCCACCCGTGACCTCGTATCTCCTGAGGTGCTCAAGTGGAGAGGACTTGGGTAGCCCCAAGGGCCCACTTCCTGAGATGGCAGGCCAGCAGGCGGAAAGCATCTGTCCTCAGCCTTCACTGAGCCGCCGGCTTAGGGGGCTTCCATGAGCACAGAAGTACTTGTATCCACAGGGGGCAAGACGAACGGGCTGAGTCCTGGCCCTCGGAGATGAGGAACTCAGCCAGGGGCACCCACCACAGCTCAGTACTGCAGTCAACCTCAGTATCCAGGGGGTGTGGGTTTAGGGCCGCTGTGGGTACCGAGAGCCATGGACACAGTCCCTTTTCTAAAATGGCCCAGTATTGACACAGATAGGTCCTCCGCGGACTTTTGTTTAGCGCTGGGGTCGGAAGCCAGGGCCTTGCACATTGCAGATACATTCTCTACCGTGGGTGCTGCACCCCCTGGCCCATACACTTTAAATCATCTCTAGATGACTTCAAATACTTTATCTGATGGCAAAGTATGTAAAGAGTTGTGTTCTTTAGGGAATAATGATAAGCAAAGGTCTGTGTGAGTTCAGCACAGGCATAATTATTTTTCAAATAATCTTGAGCAGTGGTAGACCAAATCCGCAGATATGGAGAGAGACAGCTAACGGACTGTGTGTAAGAGACTTTAGCCCTTCCTTATCCAAATGTAAGGGTTTTGCTTGAAAATAGAGGCTTTTCATTTGAAGTCGTCAGAAAAAAGAATGGGTGAGAATTAGCCAAGGAGATCCTGGAAAAGAGAAAATGAACAGCATTTGCCCTACCAGACCCAGAAGGACTTTGTAGCAAAGCACTGTGTTGTCACCATGGGAGCCACAATCAGTGGGATGGACAGGAGCTGGAAAGTGAACCCAGGCCTGTTCCTTGTTCATTCACGATTCTACTGGACCAACGTTTATTGAGCAGTCACCACATGCCAGGCACTGACTTCCAAGCACTGAGGGAGAACAGTGAGGAAAAAAAAAATAGGGGAAAAGAATCTATTCTAAGCAAAGGGAAAGAGGAAAATGAGTGAAAATCACAGTAAGTCATTCAGTGGCAATGTGGCAATGCTAGTGGGGGCAGGGTGGGATTGGAGGTTTAAAGCAGTGGCCAGGGGCTTCTGCAAGAAGTTAGTACTGGAGCAGAGACCTCAGGGGCAAAAGGAGCCTAGGCAATAGCAGGGGATGGGCATTCCCCACACAGGATCAGTTTGTGCAAAGGCCCTGGAGCAGCAGGGGGCTTGGTGATCTAGGGTGTGCAGCAAAGAGTCTGTGTGTCTAGGGTGGCATTTGTGAAGCAAAAGACAGGGTTCAGTTCAAGTTACTTGGCTACTACCTAAGATACAAGGGACTCCAGGGACCATTGCAGAGCCTCCCACCCAATCAGAAGATAATCATAATCTGAAAGGGGTTCCGTGCCTTCAAGAAAAGCTAGTGTAGGTACTCGGGGAAGGTTGGTTTCCTGTGGAGATGACCTGAGCTGAGTCTAAAATTTTGTTTTTCATTTTGTGTTGTTTGTGCTGTAGGGAATCTAACTCAGAGCCTTCACACTGAGCTTCACCCCCAGCCTTTTTTTCATTTTTTATTTAGAGGCAGAATCTCGTGAAGTCACCAAGTTGCCCAAGGTTGGGTTCGAATTTGAGGTCCTCAGCCTCCTGGAGTTCTGGGATTACAGGTGTGCACCACCATGTCCAGCTCAAGTCTAATTTTTTTCTTTTTCCTGTTCAATGATGCTCCAGGGTCTGAAGCCCATGCGAAGCCCCCAGGTGGTACAGGGAAGCAGCCGCTCTGCCAGTAGCCTACCACCCCCCTTTGGCAGTACTGCAGCACTGCTGCCCCCAGCCCTGAGCCTGACTGCCCCTGTGCCCATCTCCCAGGATGCCAGCCAGTGCCAGCCAGGCCCTGACTTCAGCCATGACCGGCAGCTCAGGTGTGTTGCTGCCCACCCAGCAGTGTAAAAGAGAAACTGAGGCACCATATACACTCTTCTCTCCTGTCTGCCTTGGTGGGAGGCTGAGTGCAGACAGAGGCCTCTGCAGAAGGTGACCGGTGAGGGCACAGGATGCTGGTGGCGGGAGGTGGCCCCACTGAGCGTGGAGTGGGGAGGTGGGCATCTGGCCACCTGGCTGCTGACCGACACTGGCCCTTTCTCCTCCACTCAAAGGCTGCTGCTGAGCCAGCCCATCCAGCCCATGATGCCTGGGTCCTGCGATGCGAGGCCACCCACAGAGGCCAGTAGGACAGGACAGCATGTCAAGTAGGTGGCTGGGGAGGCAGGGTGGGCTGAGAGCTGCACAGGTGTCCCTATGCTGGCCTCTACCTTACTCCTTAAAACAATAGTCCAGACCTGGCTGTGGTGGCACATATCTGTGTGTGGAGGCTGAGGCAGGAGGATCACCAAGCATTTGGGGTGGCCTAGGCTACGGAGTGAGGCCATGTCTCAAGAACAAGAGTGGAGGTTTATGTGGGTCACAGCTCTGGAGGTTGGGAGTCCAAGAGCATAGCATGCACATCTACCTGCACCTGGGAGGCCTTCCTGCCTGGCCATCACAGGGCAGAGGCACCGCATAGACAGAGCGAGGCTGCTGGCTCTCACGAAGCCACCAGGGCTGTCCTAGGGACCCCACCCTAGTTACTTCTGCTTTCCTATTTACTTGCTCTCACCCTAGTTACTTCCAAACACAGTTAGCACAGCACTCCAGGGCACTGCCTTCCCCAGCCTCTATCCTCTCGTACCCAGGACCACAGCAGATGTTCAGTTGCCTGCTTACGAGAGAGGTGTTCCTGGAGACATGAGGGCAAACCCTTCCTACTGGAAAACAGCTTCCCGTCCCTTGAAAGGCAAGGATGGTAGGACTGGGCACAGGAGTCAGTCTCTATGAGTCCTGGGTGAACTTGGGGTCCGAAGGTCACTGGGACAGTGCCCTGTAGAGGTCTTGCCAGTGGCCTGGCCATCGCAGAATTCCTTCCCGTGTCCCTCCACAGCCCTCACAAGCAGTAGCTGAGTGGTTCTGGGGCTCCTGTGTTGTGCCCCCCTCACCCCAGTGAAAAATCCGGTTTAGGGACGCTTTCCTTCTCTGAGTCAGTGAGAACCGAGGGCACACGTGCCACAGCCAGCTAGTTGTTAAAACTCAGAGTGCTAAAAGGTTCACCATCGTTGCCCTAGATGAATCAAATGAGAAGAAAGAGTCTTGATACACCAGCTTTCAGAGATGCTTCAAGTGCAGCAAACTAGGCAAAAATGGAAACCTTTTCCTCCAAGAACGCTACTGTTTTGGGTCAGAACAACATTTCCACCCTTCCCACCTCCCCTGTAGTCCCTGCCGGGTATCACTGTGCAGCTCCCCCTCCTGGGGGTCAGGATCTCTCTCCTCTGCCCCCGTGCAGGCCTCCAAGATGTGGGAAGCTGGGAGCCAGGTCAGGTGACCCCACGCAGGGAAATGGCACTTCTAAAATCCCCACTCCGGGGGACTGCACTCTCCTGGCTCCCAACATCCATTCCTTAGCTCTCATTTTTCAGACCTTTGCTCAATGGCTTTCTTGGCCTCTTGTTAGCAAACCATTGGCATCAGCCCCGCGTGTGTGTGTGTGTGTGTGTGTGTGTGTGTGTGTGTGTGTGTGAAGTATACCTAGTGCACTATTTGAAGTATACAGTGGCACTGAGCATATTCACACTGTTGTGTAGCTATCACCACCATTCTCTCCAGAACTTTCTCATCTTCCCAAACTGCAACTCTGTGCCCATCAAACACTAACTGTCCACTTTCTGTCTCTGATTCTGTGTTGGTACCACATAGAGTATCTGTCCTTTGGTGACTGGTTTATTTCACTTCGTGTAAATCTTCCAAGTTCACTGCTCCTACAGCACATGTCAGAGTCCCTCCTCTTCTACCTGCATAGCTTCCACTGTGTGGGTGCGTCCCGGTTTTTAGCCATTCCTCCATCAGGGCACACCTGGGTGGTTTATGCCTTTCAGCATTTTTGCGAATAGCGTTTGCGTGTGTGTACAAATGCCTGCTCAGGTGCCTGATTCTGCTTCCTTTGGGTGTGTGCCGAAAGTGGAATTGCTGGATCATAAGGTCCTTCTGGGTTTAATTTTTTGAGAACTCTTCATATTGTCTCACCCCATTTTACATTCTCAGCACCAGTGCACAGGAACCTCAGGTCTCCACATCCTTATCATCCTTATCCCACTAGCTTTGTTTTTGTTGTACAGATTGAGCCCAGAGCCATCATACTAAACTACTTCCCCAGACCTCTTTTGTTTTTTTATTTTGAGACAGGGTCTTGCCAAGTCCCTAAATTCCCCAGGCTAGGCTAACTTTCCATCCTCCTGCCTCAGCCTCTCAGAGTGCCAGGATTACAGGCCTGCACCACCACACCCAGCTCTC